AATCAAATTATTCACTTCGTTTTAATCATAACGCTCTTGTTTAGAAGGGAACAAATGGACTGGGAATGAGATTTCTGTACCCTTCTTCTTGCATTTCCAACTTAGAACCGGGCTCGTCTGTTTATGCTGAACTCTAAGAAGAGACAAGCTCTGCTGCGTCAGTGCTCTGCACCCGTCCCTGGCTAACCTACGAGCAGGGTGTGGAGGTTCCTGACTGACAAAGACAGGCCATCTCACACTGCTATCTGAGCTATGGCTGCTGTTTAGTATTCAAGATAATCTCCCCAGAAATATTGAAAAAAAAGCTGTAATTTGATTATGAGCTAGTGAATGACAGACCCCGATCTTTGGTGACATCACTTTAAGCCCTGCAGACAGAGTAGCTATAGTGGATCACAAAACTGTATGCGCACATACCACACAGACTAGGAGAACCCCTTGATGGCTTTAGCTGGTTGTTAGGCAGGCACAGAAACCCCCCAAGAACTCTTTTGCTCCGACTCTCCCATACAAACCCTCAGTATGCGGCTCCTTCAGGATGGGATGGCTGGGGGAAGAGGACATTCTCTGTTGTCTCCCCAGACCTTAATCATTGGTTTTTATTTCACCCTCTGATGAGATGAAGTAGGGTCACTTCCCCACCACCCCAGGGGCAGCTGTTAGGCAGGGACAGAGTCTGAGGTGGAAGCAAGATAGAGGCGGAGGGCAGTGGTGTGGTGTTATACTCACAGTGTCAGTATTGAATTTCCCGTGGCCTTCCAAGTGGTTGCTGGATCCTGGGCTCTTTCTCTTGGGGGGCTGCAGCTGGGGGCTCTGCTGCTTGCTAGTGGCCTTCTGTTTACTGCTTTCTCGCTGTGGCTTGCTCAGCAGTTTGCTGTGGGACCTTGCTCCAACTCCAGCTTCTCCTGCTGCCTTCTGCACTCTGGCAGCAGGCTGACACCTCACTGAGCTGTCTTCTGGTGCTTTCTTTCCTCCATCTGATGGCTGAGGTGCTTTTCTCACTCTCTCAGCCCCCACTTGCTTCTCTGGAGCTACCAACCCTTTCCCATCCCCAGCCTGAACCATGAAAGAGAGCTGCATCGAGAGGACAGCAATGGTGGTCACTGCATAAACCTTCATCCTTGGGCTCTGGTTTCTTCTCAGCTACTGTGTGTTCCTGTGCCCAGCCCAGGTGCTTGTAGGGAGAATCAGAACTGCCTCTTGCTCAGTGTAGGCGGCTGAAACCCTTTTATAAAGCAGAGATCTTCCTCCACCCCACCCCTCTTTCTGGGTGTCAATGACACTGAAATTCTAGCTTTCCTCTTATACCTGCAAACCTGGCTGCTACTGCTGGGAAACTCCCCCTCCCCCAAACTCTCTCACAGCCCTCCCACTAGCAACACCTCCCCCCCTCCTCTTTTCAAAGGTATCTGTGTGTGTCTAGTGTTCTCTTTCCCAGTTGTGATCATGGAATAGTTTGGCTAAACTATTTGCAGGCAGGACTGAGATAAATAAATGGATCTGCTGGCAAACAGTGCACATCAGGTGCAGGGAGGTGCATGAGAGGAAGGGTCTAATTTGGTCTCAAAGGCATCTTTTACAACCATACATCTTTAAATACCTTAGATGACTGATTATGCACTTTCACCACTGGCATGTTGGGGGTATGTGTTTCTTTCACTGATTCCAATGGAAAGACCATTGGTACGCCCATTCTTTGGTTAGGCTGAGGTTGCCCCCTGAATACACAAAGGTGGTGGGAAAAGGTGTTGGCTCGATGGGAGCTGGTGCGAGTATGTGTACACAAGTAGGGAATCACACCCCCAGATCATAGTGTAGACAAAGTCTTAGTGAAAAATGAATATCCCTGAGACTGTATAACAGGCAGAGAAGTTTCCTGCTTTGTTTCCTGTGGTGCAAAGCACAACTTCCAGTGCTCACAGGTGAGAGAAAAGCTAACCATCCACCTTAGCTGGCCTTGCTGCTGAATTTAGCCAATGAATTGCTAACACTACCCGCTGATTTTGAAGAGGAGGAAGGTTGGGCCACTGTAATACTGGAGGGCTAATGCTATACACCCACCCCCCAACTGCTCTCTATCAATAAGGGCACCAGTGAAGGAGGTTTAATTGCACAGACAACCACCAGTCCACTGAACTCTGAAGCTGAAAATTGAACAACCCCAAGGAGCAGTGCTTAAAGTTGCAAGGTTGGGGGTTAGAGACCCAGTGAGAGAAAAATCAAGCTGAATCACTGAAGGGCGCACGCACACACACACACACACACTCTCTCTCTTTAAGCACTGTCTTACCTCTGCTGCTGCTCCCAGCTTACGTGAAACCTCCCACTTTTTGAAGACCACTTTAAGCACTGCCAGCAAGTTCAGGCTGAAACAATAACAGGATGTTTCGCTAACCGTATACTTCCATCTAACTTGTAAAACCCCATGGATGTCTTCTGAGCATTTGGAACTGCAAGCACATGGACTTGCATAGTGGCTCTTGTGAGGTGAGCTAGGAATTGGGTTAAAATCATCACCTTCATTGTCACTTGTGACCTGAAAATGGTTTGAGTGGTGGTACCTAGCCCCAGGTCCTCTGAGGTATTTAGGCTCCTGTGACACAGCGGCCCAGCGGTAGTTCACTACTCTGTCTCCGCGACTCTTGTCAGGCCTGACAACCTCATACACCTCTCACACCAATTATATTTATATAAAAGGTGACATGTAATATATTGTTGGAAATCTACTAACACACTGGTCATTAATGTCACTGTGAAATGTTTGTAACAGCACTGTAGGTGAGATTATAGATCCTCTCTGATATTATGTCTTGGAGACAGAACAGACAAAGGAGACAAAACACATCTTTTTTCCAAATTAAGGGAACAGAATATGGTGGCAGAAGTCCCATCCAGGAAAGGGGGTCTGACTTGCTGCCTCCGGGTAGGGTGACCAGATATCCCGATTTTATAGGGACAGTCCCGATTTTTGGGTCTTTTTCTTATATAGACTCCTATTACCCCCCAGCCCTGTCCTGATTTTTCACATTTCCTGTCTGGTCACCCTACCTCTGGGTCAGCCAGTGGCTAACCCTCCTGCAGCTTTATAAGGGGGGGGGAGATGTGACCCTTAGAGCACCCCAATGCCAGAGGGAATAAACCTACTTTTCATAGGTTTGTTTGCTCAGTGGTCAGGATTAGCAACTTGCCAGCAGCCGAAGGACTATATCTAATTTGTATTAATGGTGCAAATTGTTACTGCCCTCAGTAATGAAAAGATGGATGCCAGAAAAGCCAGAGGTAGAAGGATGGTCTTGTGGTTAAGCACTGGGCTGGGAACGGGTAACTCTTGGTTCCATTCCCAACTGTGCCACAGACTCACTGTGACCTTGGGAAAGTCACTTAATCTCTGTGCCTCCCATCCCCCATTTGTAATACAAGTACAGTGCTTCCCCACCTCAGTGAGGAGATGTGAGGTTACATTCATTTGTGTTTTGGAAGCAGTTGGACATTGCAGAGGGGCTATAGAAGTTTCTAGATATTTAAATCCCAGCATACAATGCTCTACTTTGATCACTGGGCCATCTCCTAGAACTGTGTGCCAGTGGGCTGCTGTTCGGCCAGCCCATATATAATAAGCATATTGTCTGAGCTATCCATTGTTTTGCCGAAGTGGTGGCTGAGCAGGGCTGTTGAAAGGAGTTTGGTTCAACTCTCTGGGCTGGAGGAACAGCTGATTGGCATCTACACTACGAAGATGGGAGGAAGAAATACAAGCTTTTTCAGGAAGGTGAAACCCAAGCTGTTTAGGCACCCTGATTTTTTTTTTTCTTTCTGGGAGGTGCAGTACCAGATATTGGCTGTGTGGCACTGGGGGATTGACAGTGGGGGGTGGAAATCTGAAGTCATGTTGCACTTCAGGTGTGGTTGGAATGGGGAGGTAACATCTGCTAGAGCTCTAGAGCATAAGCTCTAATTCATCTTCCACATCTTCACCTCTGGCCAGCTCCTAGCCCTGACCTGCTCCAGGTTCACGCTGACAGTACTGATCTCCCGGGAGATGGGCTCGTATGAACGGAGGGAGAGGCAGGCAGCGAGCAGGCCCATCCGGACGCAGGTATCTGTGTCATGCCCAGCAAGTAGCCCAGCGATTATCCCTGCCATTAAACTGGAAAAAGAAAGAAAACGCAGCTTTGGACACTGGGGAATGGTTTTGATTCTGCAGACCTTGCCTTCCCAAAGAGAGACTAAAGTGTCTCTACTCACCAAACAAAGCTAAGAGTCCCTACAGCAAATCAACCTACAAGCAACAGAAACTGGGATGGGGGAGAAGAGGGTCTAACAAGAGGTTTGGGTATCCCTAAGGAAGACTGAAAGTCTCCTCTCTTGTCGTGTCCCAACCTCAGGACGCTGGGTCACAGACATTCACCTTTTAATGGTGATGGGTATCATGTCCTGGAGATGTTCCTTCCCGGGTTCGTGACAAGACTTTAAAACAGTGAGTGCCCCCTCATTTTATACTGTCCCGGCATGCCACTGGCTTTGGAAATAGAGTTGCCAACCTTCCAGGATTATCCTGGAGTCTCCAAAAATTAAAGATTAACCTTTAATTAAAGATTATGTCATGAGATGAAACCTCCAGGAATATGTCCAACCAAAATTAGCAGCCCTATTTGGGAGGTTAGTCAGTGCTGCATGGCTACTCAGTACAGACATGACCAGTAGAGTTCAGAATATGTAGCACAGGTGCTGGAACTGGGGGTGCTCCCACACCCCCTGGCTTGAAGTGGTTTCCATCATATACAAGGTTTACAGTTTGGTTTAGTGGCTCTCAGCACCCCCACTATACAAATTGTTCCAGCGCCCCTGATATGTAGCTCACTACTGAGCATTAGTGCCTTAATTTAAGAAGCTCCCAGTACCATTGAGATGTGAAAAAGAGAGACAGAACTTCCTATAGAGACTCTGAGTGACGTTTCTTACCGTAACAGAGGAGTTAACAGGAGATTCCTTCCTTTGTCATGCGCACATCTGGCTACTCCCAGTCTCCTGGGGCAGAGTGCACTGCCTCTGTGATGTTTGTGAAATTGTTTTTAATTTTCTGAGACAAGGTGGGTGAGGTAATATCTTTTATTAGACCAACCTCAGTTTGTGAAGAGACAAGCTTTGGAGTTACACAGACCTCTTCTTCAGATCTGGGAAAGATACTCCCAGCATCACAGCTAAGTACAAGGTGGAACAGACTGCTTAGTATAAGGAGTTACCACATGTTGCAAGAGACCATTCAAGATCTCCCCTCCCCCCCCCCCGTAGGCATTTAACAAGGGGGGTGGGGAATAGTTAGGATAAAGGTAGGGAATTGTTGGAGTTGGAAGATGTGGGATGGGAGTATGAGCTTCTAAGCTGCCTGACTTGCTGGTGGCTGGTTCTATTGACTTCTGCTGCTGCATGTGGGGCATTCCGTGTGATGTATTCAAGTTCTATCACGGGCATCTGGGTATATGGATAGAAGCCTCTTTCTAGCATTTGTACACATCTAAATAAATAAGTACCGAGACAGAGGAAACAGCAGTGAAGAAGAGGAAGAAGGGAAAAAGGAAAGACGAGGAAGAGAGAAGGTGATGGAGATCATAAGAGGAAAAAAGGGGTGGTGACGTGAAGGAAATGGAGAGTGGGGAAGATGAATGGGAAGTCCTAGCAGAATGGAGGAGATATTTAAAAAAGCAGAGAGAGAGCACTAATATCAGGGGAAGGACTTAGGGCTCTAAAACAGAGCTCCTATGTTTGCAGAGGGAGGAAGTCCTCTACAGATAAAGTAGTCCTGTCAACTTTCAGCCAGCGGTTCATCTAAGGTCTCTGCAGGCCTCATCTGCCTAGTAAAGGCAACAGCAGCTGCAGGTGGCATCTAGCGCTAGGGCCTCATCGGGTCTGGGGAGCTACACTTGGCTACCCTTGCCCTGTGCAGGCAAGCACTTGATCTGGTAGCTATGGGCCAGCAGAGATTTACACTCAGTACCAGCCTCTGGAGAGCGGCTACTGCTAAGAGCTTCCAGGTGCTTCTCTACATCCTAGGGGATGGGAAGGAAAAACTTCCATTTCTTACTTAGATGAATTACCTCAGTTTCTGCTTAACAAAAGGCACAGAACATTGTGGTTTGTGATGACCTTTCAATCTCTCAACAGCTCCTGAGACTTGGAATGAATATTGGGGGGGAGGGGGGGATTATTCCTTAGCAGTGCTGTGTATGTGCACGCACTGTTATGTTGTCACAGCAACCAGGGTGCAGGGCGCAAACAGCTTCCACAAACTGACAGCAGACCCAGCCATCTGGGCAGGGATTCCAAGAGAACCTTAAGATACAAATGAGCTGCACACTCCTCTTGAGCCAGTGCCTCTACCTACACCATTCCCTCCTGTGCCTCCTGCTGGGAGAGACTGAGACTGGAGTAGCTCTGAGCACCTTCCCCAAGTCAGAGCTTTGGCACCATTAACTACAGCACAGTGAACCTTGCTGGATCCCAGCACAGAATTTGGAAGGTGAAACTAATCGAGACACGAATGTGTTGGCTACTTCTGGTTAGATTCCATTGTTCAATCCCTTGAAACTGTTCACCGCCACCCTGTATGCTTTGGTTTCTCAGCACATATAGCCTGTGTGAGCATTGGTCTTAAAGGCCTGGCAACAAGGAGTCTGTTCTTGCACCCAGCACTGTATGGAACAGAGGCTTTCTGCAGAGCGAAGGAACAGCCATTAGACAGCAGGAGAAGGAAATTACCATAGAAACTAGAAGATTATGAGAAATGCCAAATGGACTCCGAGAAACTGAGCTTCATGACAGCAGATCAGTTTAACTTTAATAGGACTACAGTAATACAGATACTAATGGGCCTGAACTTTCAGGGTCCTCTAGGAAGAAAAAGCTAGGTGTCGTCAGACATATCATGGTCAATGTCTGGCAGGGGAGCAGCTTAAAACAAATAGGAAGTTTAGGTACATTTTAAAAGAGAGCAAATGATAAGATATTAGGCCAATTATAACAATTATTCTGGAGGAGGTTAGGTCATTGTTCAATGTATCGTGCCCAGTTGTGGTCACCCCACCTTCAAGATGTGGCTGCGATTGAAAAAGTCTAGAGAAATGCAATGCTGAGGGATAAAGATATGGCAGGATTTACATACGAGGAGTGATCAGAAACATTGTGATTATTTAGTCTGGAAAGGATAAAGTAGAGGAGAGTTGACTGAAGTACTCAGAATTACTAAGGTTCCCATGAAACTAACCAGTCCCTTTTTATGCTGTCCGCCAGCATGAGAAAGTGAGAGGCTAATCACTCCTTTAAATTAGTGGCAAATAAATGTGGAAAAATCTGCCTCATATAGACTTCCCAGACAGTTCACTGCAGTAAAATATCAGTCATTGCAGTTTATGAAAAAAGGTCTGGATAATTATGACTGTATCACATGTAGTTATACAAGACAAGGAGGATAATAAAGATGTAAGTTGATCACTATAGGGTCAGTAAGTAATGCCTGTCCCCTCCGACCCCAATGTACAGCATTGCATCAATGATTAGGTAAGGTATGGTGAGAACTCAAAGCATAAGGTACCAGCTACTCCCACAGGCAGAAAACTGGATTTGATTAACTGAACTTGTATGGTTTCAGAGTAGCAGCTGTGTTAGTCTGTATCCACACACACACACAAAAAAAGAACCAGGAGTACTTGTGCCACAAGTACTCCTGTTCTCTTTTTGACTTGTATGGCAACTCCTGCCTTTAAGGCACTTCCTGGCTCTGGTGGGTCCCACTTTTAGCAAACCTTACAATGAAGGTTAAGTCTCACTTCCACTGTAGAGAAACTGATTCAGCTTTGTCTTAAGGTAGTTCACTTTATTTTGACTACTGCCATGGTACTTCAATAGCCAATAAACTTCAAGAAGTTTGGCAGCCCAGCCCAGAGTAATTCAGAACTTGTAGCTGTACTGCTGGGACCTAGAATGCTGTAGCATATGTTCAAGCCAGTTCTGGGAGAAGGAGGATGAGTGGCCAGACTGGCTTCAATAGACATTAAGCTGTTATGGGCAAATTCTTAGTACACACTGTGGGGAATTATGTTCCTTACTCCTTATCGGGTGGATTTAGTGTCCGGGACGGCTCCAAGTTTTCTGCCGCCCCAAGCGGCGGAAAAAAAAGCACCGATCGGCAGCACTTCAGCGGCAGCTCAATCGCGCCGCTCCATTCTTCGGCGGCAATTCGGCAGTGGGTCCTTCACTCCCTCTCTTCCTATTCGGCGGCACTTCGGCGGCAGCTCAAAGAGGAAGAGAGGGACTGAGGGACCCGCCACTGAATTGCTGCTGAAGACCCGGACGGCTGCCCCAATAGCGGACAGAGTGCTGCCCCAAGCACCTGTTTCCTTAGCTAGTGCCTGGAGCAGGCCCTGTTTAGTGTTAATTCCCAAGTATCAGAGTGAAATCTGTCTTCATGGTAGTGTTAAAAATTCCAGATTGGAATTCAGCTGCAGAAAATAAAGAAATCCCATAACTGCATCTTTTCTCTGGGTAATTAGTAATATACCTGTCACCTGCTCCTGAGACATTCACTATCTCTTCCCTGGAGATGGGGATTGCTGGGTAGTGGGTGGCACACAGCTCGCCTGCAGCATTCTGTAGAGAGGGAGAAGAGGAGTGGCATTACTGGGAACTCACCGAAGTCTAGAAGCAATATTTGGACCTGGCTGATCTTGCCCACAGCTGCCTCAATACTTAGAATCCAAATACTATTTCTTTACATTTTGAATCACCTTCACTTTGCCTATGTTTGCATCTTTTGGGGTTCGCTTTCCACCAAGATTTGTGCAACTAAGTTTTACTAGCATGTAGGTCCATGGAGAGTGTGTTTCAAACTTGCATTCTTAATTACTGAGGGGAAAGCACATTTTAAATGATCACTTTCTGTGATCACTCCACAGATATGAATCACTGTATGGTAGGATGGCCCTTCCTGGAGCGCCCTCCTATGGCAAGCTACAGCATGACTGAGGCACCTGCCTCAGTTTCCCTTTCAGAATCCCCAGTAACTCCTTGCAAGCTTATCCTCCAGTCCTTTGATGTGGTTTATTACCAAAAACTTATTTCAAATAATCCAAAACAAAAAGTACCAAACATAGTCCATTTCTCACATCCCAGTACATAGAGTCTTTAAAAATCCAACAACATGCCACCCTAAATACTACACTCCAGAATTTTCCACCACACCTAGACTTCTTGTCAGTCCTCCTCTGTCCTTCTGCCAAGACAGCCACCCCAGCCCTTCTAGCAAGAGTAAGCCCTACTCTCCCCAGCAGGAACCCCCAGAGCCTTACGAGGGGAGCATCCCTCACTCCCCCGGCCCTCTCGCTGCTTCCCTGGGGCCAGCTCTCCAGTGTGAAATGGGGTAAGCCCTGATGCTATTACCATCTTCAGCCCTCTCTAATGCCCTGGACTGCAGCTTAGACATCAGCAGGCAACTCCCACTGCTGCTTTCTGGCCTTCAGCCTTGGTCCTCTGGCTTAGGGACACATGCCAGCCACCAAACCCCTCTTGCTGCTCTCCTGTCTTTAGCCTTTTCCCAGGAACCAACTACAGCTTCCTTGCAGGACCTTCCACCATTCCCCTGGTGTGTGGAAGCTCTCACCTGCCCTTTTCCTGACTGACTCAGTCTGTGCTCTAAGACTGCTTTCACTCACCGAGTCTCCTTCCTCTTTCAGATTCTCCTGGATTGTTTATAGTTAGGGCCCTACCAAATTCATGGTCCATTTTGGTCAATTTCACGGTCATAGGATTTAAAAAAATTGTAAGTTTCATGATTTCAGCTACTTAAATCTGAAATTTCATAATGTTGTAATTGTAGGGGTCAAGGAGCTGTGGGAGAGTGGGGGTCACAACATTATTGTAGAGTGGGTTGCGGTATTGCTACCCTTACTTCTGCGCTGCTGGTGGCGAGGCACTACCTTCAGAGCTGGGCGCTTGGCCAACAGCCGCTACTCTCCAGCCACCCACCTCTGAAGGCAGTGCAGAAGTAAGGGTGGCAATGCTATGAGCCCCCTAAAATAACCTTGCGACCCCCTGCAGCTCTCTTTTGGGAAAGACCCCCAGTTTGAGAACGCTGGTCTCCCCTGTGAAATCTGCATAGTATAGGGTAAAAGCACACAAAAGACCAGATTTCACAGCGGGAGAGCAGATTTCCCGGTCCGTGATGCTTTTTCATGGCTGTGAATTTGGTAGGGCACTATTTATAGTCCCAAGTGCTGCCTTGGCCTCTCAACTGGCCAAACTGAGAGCACCTGCTCTGGCACAGTGGACCTGGACCTGCCTCCTTTGCCACCCTCTGACACACAGTGGCATAGGAAAGGAAGGCTCAATTTCCATTATTAATCTTCAGAGCCGTCCAGTCCTCCAGGGACAGGTAAATGTATAGCAGCATCAACCTTGGTGAGAGAGGCTTGAAGAGTCACTACTATGCCAGTGCTCCCAAGCACAAGGGAATGAGAACTCCTTGCCACTCAGTTGGTCTTCCTGAGCTGCCTACCTGTTTGCGAGTTCCAGGGCACAGCGAGACACTCCCTTCCACTCTCCTGCCACACAAGAGGACTCCATGCATGCCGAGTGTCACCACCACACAATGCAGTTGTGTCAGCAAGGGGTGGGTTAGGGTCATCGCAGTCCTGACAACATCCTCCAGCCTGGATGGCAGATCTTTAGACAGCAATGAAAGAAAAGCTGCAACATCACTTCAGATCACAAAACTGCTGACTTGAGCTTTCCATGTCATGGGATGTTGGCCTATTTGTGAGTGGTTTTCAAAGTCTAGCCGGGAGTTTACAATGCTCATGGAAAACGCTGACAGCATAGCCAGAGGCAGCCGCAGAGCTGACATACTATGCAAACTTCCCACTCACAGCTCCACCGTGTGCTTCTCACTCCTGACCCGCAACCCTCCCCGTACCTGCTATTCCAATCCTGGGCTTCCACACAGCCCCTCCAGTGCACCTCCATTCCGAAACGAGGGTACCACCTCTCATGAGTTTACACCTGTGTATGCACACAGGGGCACAAAATAACTGTGTCATGTTGTCGGTATCTTAATGCCATTGTGTTGGTGTCAGCATAGGGCGATGTTTCATCTCCTATAGAGACAGCGTCACAGTCTGAAGACAAATACTGTCATACTGTGATGCTTCACTGGGGCATCTGAAATAAACTAGTGATCCTATTTCCTTGGGCTTGTAGCGTGCATGACAAAAACAGTGACTCAAACTCTAGGCTACGTAGCAACCCCAAACCTAGAGCACTCTGCTGGACTAGTTTTTTGCCTTATCTGAATCAAGTTTTAGAACTTGTGGAGATTTTGTGAGGTGATTCAGGTGCCTCATTAGTTAACCAGGGTCATTAGGTTCAGTGCATTTGTTTTAACACACACACACACACACAAACAAAAAGACCAAAAAGGGACTGAAATAGAAATTAATTCAAATACAAGTCTGTGTACTAACCCTAGAAAATCCATGTTCTTTCAGAACACAACCAGTGGTCACCAGCAACTCTGCTTCAGTGAACTGCAGCTTCTAAGCTAGTTCATCACTCCCCTGCCCAAAGCTGGCCTGCCCTGATTCTTGGGCTTTGTAAAATCTCCAGCTGCTGTAGCTGTTTTGGTAACCAAAGTTAACGCTTCTGGAGGCAGCACTATGACAAACAGCTCTGCTGCTTCTAGAAGTGCTGGTTCAGCCCAGCGAGGGACTTGCGGTCAGTGGGAGCAGTCAGTCTGAAATGGCGGCAGGGGTGGGGAAAACGCAGCTCCCTATGCAGTGTCTAGGTTAATCTGAAAGTATTTCTCTCTCGTTACCACTTCAATGTACTGTACCTGCCAGCACAGGGTGCCCGAGGGTCCGATTTATTGCCCTTAGTTCTCGCAGATTGGGGGAGATGTAGGTCAGCGCTTTCCAGCTGTCTGAAAGGAATGGCTTAGAAGCCTTGTTCTCATCTGTTGGCTCATAGCACACTTCAAAAAAACATTGTAGTTGGTTAGCTGGGGTAACAATCTCTCGGCTTCAGGACAGACAGCTATTTGGAATGCTCATTGTGATTTTTACAATGTTTGGTATCTACACTTTATTATAGCCAGGAAAGGATACGCTATCTTCAACCTCCCTTTCTACTGCAACAGTAATGATTAAACTGCTTCTGACTCTGGGGTGATGCGATGAGAGGCACAGTCAGGAATGGGCATTTAGTTCAATAGACAGGCCAGTGAGCCAGCCAGCCAGCAGGAACTACCTTTGTAGTCTCTGCTCTCTGGCTGAGTCTGGAGAACTGTCTCCCCCTGCAGAGCTTACTTCTGAAGAAGGCGGGGGAACAATTCTGAAGTCTTAAGATGGGTGGTGAAGAGTCTTCAGCAAACCAAGATTTTCACAGGGAGCAGGGGCGGCAAATGGTTTTTAAAAATAGGTAAGTTAAAATGTATTGCTTTGCTGAATGCCACAAGCCATGGGAGGCATACAGCATACAAGTCTGTGCCTGCCACAGCTTTCAGCTTAGCTTTTCAGTTCCCCTTTAACATTTGCAGGGCTGTAGATGTTGCCCCGATAGAAATCTGATGTAGCTGAAGAATAAGAAAAACTAAGAATATATGAAAACATATTTCATAGCTTTAAAAAAAACATGGGGAAAGTGGGGAAGAACTTGATGCAAGATAGTGCTGGTGCCTTCAACTCTCAGTCTCTCACTGAAGTTAGCAGGAGCAGAGGGTGCTCAGCACCTTGCAGGCCATGTTTCAGAACACGCAGGATTATGCCCCAAAGGGTCCACTCGCAGTGAGTTCTCCTTACCCGCTATCTGGTGCTCTCTAGCAATTTCACAGACGTACTGAATGGTGGCAACTGGCACGTTCCCATCAATACATACCAGTGGGGCCAAGCACAGACTCTCCTTGAACTTGGACACCTAGTGAAAATACAGAACATAGAACAGAGGCAGCTTGATCCAGCTTGACTCAACTGGACAAGAATGAGATATGCGAACCTAGCACATCTTACTGATAGACTCAGGTGGCTAGGATGTATTTGCAATATCAATTTTTGTGGAAACTCTTAGACGCAGGCTTGACGTGAATCAAGAAGAGCATTTTCCAAGAGAAAGCAGGTCTTACAGGTTCTCAATTTTTTTCCTTCTCTTTCCCATCCTCCACTATCAAGCCTTGTACCAGACTAGCCTGTCCTCCTCACAGAGGAAGGTTGCTGGTAGCTCCCCCTCAAGATCTTTACTGCTGCTCCTATAGCAACTGAAGGTCTCTAGTGAGCAAAATGAGATGCTTCCTCCCCTTTGAGTTCCAGTGGGGTGCCTCTACAGAGCTCCTAATCTCAGCTAGACCAGGGAGCAAGGGACCAAATCTCATTCTCAGATCCCCATGTGTCAGTCCATTGCAGTACCAACACTAAATTGCAGGACTATCTTGGAGAGGAGCCATTAAAACTTACAACATGTCTCATGGTCAAGCTAGAATGATTAGAGAGGGCAGTTTACTCAGACCCTTGAAAATATTTTATTTCAATGGCAGCTAGACACCTAAATACCTTTTGAGATCTGGCCCTTTTTCCAATAACTGTTCTAAACCAAAACAATAGAAATAACAGGCCACATTCAGACCTGATATAAACAAATGCGCCAGGTCTGAATTCAGCCCAACATGTTTTCCTCATCTCTCTGAAACCTTGTGACGGTATAAATAGAAGATATGAGTACAAAGGTGACAAAAGACTGATTTGAGTTAGAAGAGGACATCCCAACATATAATGATGACACAGCCATCAGTCTAGCCCCAAATTCCTTTATCATAATGAGTACCTGCCACCCAGGAAATCCTACCAAATGCACTACCTGCATATGAAGCCTGTGCTGAAAGTCAGAAGGAAAAGAGGTTCGCATTCAACCCATTTGGGGAGAGGAGCTAGCTAGAAATTGCCTGCACACTCTGAAGGCCAAGGAGAAACCACCAAAACCAGACGAACTTTCTAGCCAATCAGAAGTGGGGTGCCTAAAGTTAGGCTCCAAATGCCATATTTAGCCAATGGGAGCCTCTGGGTGCTCACTGCCTTGGAAAGTCAGACCACTTTTTAGGGGCCTAAATATGGACACAGGAGCCTAACTTTAGGCACCCCACTTCTGATTGGCTAGAAAGTTCGTCTGGTTTTGGTG